ATAGAAGTTTACATACGGATCAGCGTACAAGTGTCCAGAAACCAATGAAAAAATTTCCCACAATTTCCTCAGAATTTTCATATTGTCACCAACACATGTGTTTGACCATATGCATATCAGGGCGGAAAAATATGCCCATGGTCAACTAGATGGGAATTCTGGGGAAGCTTGAGGGAATTCTCATTCGTTTCTGTACTTTTACTTCACTCCGTATACGACCTCCTATTATTAGTAAGGAAACTCCTGGGCTCAGCTGAGGAAACCCAACATATATTCCAACACTGATGCATATTCTCCCGTACTGGCGTAACCCCGCCCCCCCCCCCCCCCTACTCATACCACTCTCCGCACACATCGTCTCCTCCACTTCAAACAAACGCCGACTCCCATCCGCATACAATTCACGACCATCGCGAGCTGAGGGAAAAAATTTTCTCAAATTTAACCGAAATTTCCTACCAATGAAATCTTCCCTAACACCACATACCCCCACAAGCTCGTCCATACCACACCTTCCTTTCAACTGCTCACACCGGGACACGAACGCCGCATCCTCTCGGGAGTAGTAGCGACTGTATCTGTCGGAAACAATAATTTCCTTTCCCGTTTTCACTACAAAAAACTCGCCCCTATAACGAGCCCGATTCGCCTCCACCACCACAAAGTGCAAACTACCCTACTGCCCGAATAGAGGTGGTTTCTGTTTCAGTATAACTTATACCAAACCAGAAATCACCGCTGGAGAAAAAAACCAAAATTCCTTCCATGTAAACAACAACAACGACTACAATAGCATTTTCAGCTCTCCCATAAAAGGCATCAATAAAATCATCAACTTCATTTTGAATCTTAGAATTGTGTAAATCTATCTAAAAACTCGTGATTTTTTTGAAAATGCACGACCAGGGAACATAGACCACACAAGAACACCCTCCCCCCTACACTTCCCATACAATTCCACCAACCCTTCCAAACAAATACCGACGCACACAGCACTCCGTTGATGGCAGATACTCCCGAAACATCTAAACGGAGACATTTTATCAGCCCCCCCAAAAAAATTAACTTTTACCACATCTTGAGCAAGTGACAAGCCTTGCGATTGTATATTCTGCCTGATAGACGCTGACATCCTCTCTGACGTTTGCAGGACCTCCTTTGTGATTCGCGCAGGGTGTGGTAGTGACCACGACGGCTAAAATGGATACCGCCGATCACAACCAACAATGGTTCTGTATTGATTCAGGAACTGAGAAGTTATTCATTCAACGACTCGAAAGTGACAGTGACAAAACCAATTGTTGAAAGAAAGCTCACGTAAAATGTCAATTTCCAACCCAAAACTTGAGGGAAAAAATTCGAAAATTTTCTGCATAGTAGTTCTGCTAGGTCAAAAACCAGAATAAACTCACGAAAAATAACTAACAAAATTATCTGAAATTTTCACCAAAGTATGATTCGAAATTTCCACAATGTGCTTTGCAAAACTTATTTTTTCGCATCAAATTTCGAGGGTAAAAATATAGAATTTCCAATTTTTCCCGAATTATACATCCTCCCGAATGCCATATTTCTCTCGGAACTCCTCGCAGAACGCTGCCGCTTCTAACCCAACACTGTAATTCGTATTATCGAGTATCTAAAGGTCGACCGACTAAGATACAGAATAGGTCCATACCGTAGTCCAACAACCCCAATACCACTCCCAACACCGAAATTAATTCTTCTCATTTTCCGTTCCCAAAAACTTGTAAAAATTCAATAAAAAATTTCCCAAAAAATCTCCCCCCTATAGTACACCTTCAAAAGTCCTATAAACAGCCTCCTCCGAATCCTCCCCATCAACCGACGCCAATACAGCTCTGAAACAACACCACCACTTGCTCTCTTGCCAAATCTTGCAATTCCTCAACGCTGCCCAGTATCACCCGTGCATCACCGACATCCAATAATGACCAAAATCTCCCAATTTTTCTTCCAGCAGTTCGCCCAATTGCCGATTCCACGAACAGTCGGAAGCCGTGTACACAAACATTTTAAAACAGTCGTCTCGCTCAGACTCCTCCTTCCCAGTAGATCCATTTTCGATTCCACAACGGCAAATTGCCTAAAATAACAACCACTGGTTAAATTAGAATACTCGAATACAAGCTCCAACATAAAACCTTCGATAAATCGAAAGAAAATAAACAAAAAAATATTTTTCCGAATGCCTTTCTACCCCTTCGGGCGCGCACACTGGCGAATTCGATCGGAAAAATCCACGTTTAGTTCTGACGCGATCAGAATAAAGAAAATTCTTATCAATAGTCAAAATAAAGCGAGTAACTCTCCCAAACCTGCCTCACCTTGTGGAAAAATTCTACCATAGAAACGGAAAATTGATGCGATTCCTCCGCTGAAAAGCATCAACGATACCGAAGTAATATACACCACTGCAATAGCGGTGTATATTTTTTCAGTGACAAGTATGTAGTACTACTACTGAGTATTCAGGCGTACTATGTACACCACATACATGTGCGAAACCCGACAGAGTAGTTGAGAGCTTCCAAAGCGCATTTGTCGTGAACCCCACTCTCCCCAGCAGTACCGTATTCCCCATCAGACTCCGCGATCGGTTCAAGGCTGGTGATACGCACTTCAATAGAGCTGGGCCGCCTGAGAACAAATCGGACTATTTCACCCATAAACAGTACGTTTCTACATAGAATAGTTCCAGCGAAAGATACGATTCTCGTCTCGGCCGATGTTCACAATTCACGCCCCTCAACGAAGTTAAATCAGGCAAAAGCATTTCTTACAATTTTACATGAAAACCTAGAAAAGATTTTCCTTCGAATCGCCCTGACTGCCTACCCAAGAGAGTTGAGACGAGACCGTTGCTGCTACTACTACTACTACTACTACTACTACTACTACTACTACTACTACTACTACTAATACTATTATTATTATTACCCTTTGAAAAATCCTTGATTGCAGTGATGGAGGTAGCAGTCTTCTCATATACAGTGTAACCGAGGTCACCACTCGCTTCCTCAAATACCTATTCAGCATAGTCAGAGTACTCGGCAAGAGTCATCTCCCCTTATTCCGTATTCATGAACATGTATCAGGAATCTCAACTATATCTATCACCATTGAGTATCAACGTCAATGCTCTCCTGCGGTTACATTGAAAATCGAACAGACTCCAACGATAGTAAACAAATAAGAAGAAGTATATAGGAGTATATAACTACGATGTGCGGAGACGTTCATAAACCTCAATACTATCGAGGCAAGGAGTGCTGGCGCCGGTCTGGCGGCTCGGGGTTTTTGGATGTGCAAGAAACCAGGAATTTTTCCGATGAAATTTATAGTCACTTGACGATGGTATTATATTTTATATCATTCATCATAAAACACTTCTTATTTTCTGATATCTGATATCTGAAAAAAGCTCCGAACTTCGAGTGGGAATCGGAACGACAAGAAAGGCTCTCGAGGACACTTCCATTTCGCATTGGAGAAAGCCTTCACCCAGCAACCGCTTACCCAACTTGAGGGCATCACACTGAACTAAGGTAGATTTCATCAATATAATCAGTTGACACTCTCATGTCATCGCGGTAGAGGGCACTTCCGAGTGGAGCGGTACGAATAAGATATAAATAACGTCTCTCGAGTATTAGAGTACCAAAGAGCACCAACAACCCCTCCTACCTGTAACAAGAGCCCATCACTGCACGATAAAGGAAATACCCGACTCATCTTTATGATACCGTACAGGTCTATTGCCTCCTGTAGGAGCTCCTCCGATGACAACACTGAGGAGTCTACCATAACAGCGCAGAATTATAGATAAATCTTGACAGTATATCGGGCGAGCGCCACCGCTGAGAATAGAGTGCAGGTTCGATCCCCGGTGAGTGCATTTCTCCCGTAATTTTCCAGCCTGATTTTCTCCCTAAGCATCCATGAGTGACGTAGATGGACCTCATAGCCCACATAGTAGCCCCCTATCTCGACCCTCGTGACTGCCGGGCTCTGGTAGTGGCTTGGCCAAAGAGCCGCTACGGCCCTGACGACTTAACGAGGCGGATCTACACCGACTTGATCGTTCGAGTCGGATTACGGCCTCCCTACGAATCTTCACCACGTGAAGTATACTACTCCCTCATCTACGGCAAATACTGTGACTTTTGCAACCTTTCCATCGACAGTGCTGATCCGACCTCTTGCGCATCTTATTTTTTGTGCGAGGCATGCAGCGACCTCTGGATTCACCCCGGAGATCGACTTAACGGTATCAACCACGACCTGGACATCCTTTCTGCCGTTTCCGCCCCCCTCACATCGAAACTCCAACGCTTGCTTCAAGGCTCTATTTGGGTGCCCAAGTGGGAGCTTCTCACCATCTTAGAACCACTGAAACGACTGACTGAGCGCGACGTCCACATTCACAAATCCCGTCTGCTATGGCGCTTCCGTGGTCAGGTCTACGAAAAGCGTGTCCACACAATTTTTACTGAGGAGCTCCGTCGACTCGGTCTGCCCGGCAACCGTCACACCGGCGCTCTTCTCTGTAACGCCGTCGATGACCCCATTAATTGTCTGCTAGGATGCTCCTCTCTAATTCAAGCATATACAGCGACTCAGGAGATGCTAGAAGCCTTGGTCGCGTAGGTTGCCCCAGTAGATTACCCTTTCCCATCTTCCTTCTCCCCTCAGTTTCGACTCTATCCCTCAACGCAATATTCGTGACATCGTCAAAATGCAGCTCCAGAGGAAGGCGATCACTGGCGAGGTGGGTCCTTCTGCCGCTACAAGCGATGATATTTCATATGTTCCCATCAGGGCGCATTGCACGACTTATCTGCATCGCGTCAGTGTTGGGAAGGGAACTGTTCTGGATCAACTTGTGTGTTGGGCTCCGATGCTTGTACGCCTCCCTCCAATCATCGTTGAGGTTGCGCTCATCAATGCTGTCAGGTTCCCAGATTGCCAAGATCCGACGTCTACCAATACCAGCAAACGTTACACCTATAGCCTCGAAACGATCGAGTGATCAACGACAGTCCGTTGCGATGAAGAGGCGTAGGCGATTGAGATGCGTCGCGTAGGGTTTCCTCTGTCCTTATATTTTCATTCACTCCACATTGTATTGAGTACTGTACCACTTGGCAGCGTTTCTAGTATTGGCACGTTTCTTAATGTTCAACGCAATTTGGTTGTCGTCTTAGCTGGACAGAGCGTGTGGTCATCATGCAAGTCCATTGGAATGGGGGCTAGAAAAGCTACTTACACCAAGTCGCGCTATTCCCAGGGCCAACCTGGTGATCTACGAAGACTGCCAGGAGAAAAGAGGAGCCAGGGAACCAGTACACATTATGGGTGTGGACAACCTCGCCATGTGGGTACCGTGCTTACTCCTGACTGCGACTTTCTATCATAGTACTGCATAGTTTCAATATCGGCTAAGTTAAGTAGATACATCGAAAAGACTTGACGATTAGATATCAGACGTTCATCACCACTGCTACCACTCTGGAATTCACGGCAATCGTTCTGTTGTATGTTAGGGGTTGAATGACGGCTCATCAACATCCGTGTGCGCATCAGTAGTGACACCCATCGGGAGCTGATTTGGCTCTGGCAAGGTGAATTAATATATATACGGGGCGGATATGCCAAAGCTCAGAACTTACCACCTAAGTGAAATCATTTTCTTAAGCGGGGCGGATTAGCCGCCGCGGCTATAATACGCCCCAAGATATGTCTCAGTAAGAACAACTTATCTAACCGGGGCAGTTATGCCACAGCCCCACGATATGCCTTACTCGAACCGAACAATCCTCCAAGTGCGGTTATGCCATCGCCCCAAGATATGCCTCAGTAAGAACAATTTATCTAACCGGGGCGGCTATGCCACAACCCCAACCTTGGAATCCGTGGCTACCACAAGAAGAGATCAACCAAGGATGTTTGAAAGGATTTCACTGATGATAAGTTGATACACCGTTAACGTGTCGCTTTCCACAAACTCCGTGTCGTTTGATTAACCTTAATGCATACTACAGGCGGAACTCCAAACACTACTATAAACGCGTGGGAGGGCGCCAATAGGGAAAGACGTCTTCTCTGCCTCGCCACGAAACTTACACAAAGATACAAAGTCCATCGCACACGTATAAGCGGTGCCACTATCGACAAAGCAACTCAAGCTGGCTGTCAGGAAACAACGCTACGATGCCTGCGGTTACGATACATCTGTTACGTCATCGTTAGTAGAAAATGCTCAAAAATACACAATGATAAATACGCATTAACCATCCAAGCTGTATGGAGTCTTCCCCTGCCTCTCCAACGCAAAGACCACATCCAGGGCCGTCACGGTCCTACGTCCAGCGTGCTCGGTATTGGCGACCGCGGCCGTAATAACACTCTCGAGGAAGACCTTGAGGACGCCACGAGTCTCCTCATGGATAAGCCCGGATATGCGCTTAACTCCACCACGACGCGCAAGTCTCCTTATGGCCGGTTTGGTGATGCCATGGATGTTATCACGTAGAACCTTACGATGAGGCTTCGAACCTCCTTTACCTGGACCTTTTCCGCCTTTAGTACGGACTGGCATATGATATGCACAACTGCAACAGCAAGAGCCAGATTCGTTCCCAACACAAAACACATTCACTCAGAATCATCAGGAACAGACTGAACAAGGGACTTCCTCCTCACGTGAATGCCATCAATACGACTGGGCATCACCGAAGTCTCGGGGTTCTGAGTGTCACACAATGCAGCTTACTCATACTCACAAGGAATGTTCTCCATCTGAGAATAACATACGTTTTGTATGCTGAATCACGAAGAGCGAGCGAGAAGAAAATATTTAGTACGCAATTATCAGTGTTACTCAGAGTAGCTTCGTGTAGGGTAACTTACCCTACACGAAGTTTGTGTGGTGTAGAGTGGTGCAAACACTGGTCCGTGACGCGCTCGCTACTACAGCTAGTTTTTTTGAGCTATAGCCTAGGCTGTGTATTCCGTTTTGACGTTACTGATTGCTTCCGCTCCCGTTCTTGTTAAGTTCAACGACACTTGACTCTATCATCCACTAGTTGATGGTAACCGTGCTGGCTCAATTTGCCACTCTCTGGCACCAGGTGGCTTCTGATTGTCTGCACCTCAGTCGTGCAGCCGTCAGCTCTGTAAGGATTGCAGTCGTATGGTCTCAGACGAAGTCGGCAGGATGGAACGTGTCGGGTTGTCGAGGTTTGCGCGGGAGGTGTTCCGAAACTCTTCCCTTTGCGAATCGATGATAAAATTATCGGTATGCCCCATTCAGATCAATTCATCCTTCTGGGGCGGCTATGCCACCAGCCCAAAATATGCATAAGACAAATTCGTGTAACTGGGGTCACTATGCCACAACTTCAATCTCGAAATCTGTGGGTAATATGATGTTTGAAAAAGTTTCACTCATGATAGGTTGGTCGATATGACACCGTTGACTGGTCGCTTTCCACAAACTCCATGTGGTTTAATTAATCTCAATGCATACTATGCACACTACTACAAACACGTGGATGGGCGCCAAAACAGGAAGATGTTTTCTCTACCTTTCCACGGAATGTCACTGGCGTGTCACTAACTAACGGACTTTGACAACTCAAGTTCGCCATCAAAAAACAGCACTACGATATCTGCTGCTGATCCTACTCAATATTGGATGTAATGGACTTGAATCATTCGTGAAAAAAATGTTCAAAAAATATACAATGACAAATATGCTTCAACCACCAAAGCCGTACAGAGTCTTCCCCTGCCTCTTCAACGCGTAAACCACATCGAGAGCCGTCACCGTCTTACGCCTAGCGTGCTCAGTGTAGGTTACCGTGTCCTTAATAACACTCTCGAGGAAGACCTTGAGGACGCCACGAGTCTCCTCATAGATAAGCCCGGATATGCGCTTCACTCCACCACGACGCGCAAGTCTCCTTATAGCCGGCTTGGTGATGCCCTGGATATTATCACGTAGAACCTTACGATGGCGCTTCGCCCCTCCTTTGCCCAGACCTTTACCGCCTTTGCCACGGCCCGACATGAGATATGCGTAACTGCAACACCCAAAAACCCAAGTTTGATTCCAACGCAAAACACTTTTACTCAGTATCATCAGGAACAACAGACTGAACAAGAAACTCCCTCACTCACTGTGACTGTCACCAATACGACTCGGCAATACCAAACTGGCGGGGTTCTGAGTGTCACACAGTGCCGCCCATTCGCACTCGCAAGGGCTGTTCTTCATCTGAAAAACCGTTTTGTACGCCGAATCATGGAGGGCGAGCGAGAGGAAAAAATCTTCATAGTGCGCAAAGTATCTCTCCTCTCCGATCGACGATAAAATCTTCGCAGTGCGCACTACCTGTCTGAAAGTCAAAGATATCCGTCTTTGCCGTTCGACCAAGTCCCCATCAGGACCAACTCTATCCGTCTTCCTACCAGCTATGCCGTGTACCCATCCAAACCTGCCCACCACACGAGCTTCGCTCCGCCTTCTTTATCCACACCAATGCGACATCGAAGATTCTTCCACATACAGCAAACACCCATCAACTTCGTTAATTTCGTGGCGCGTGACGGCTCACCTCGACTCCCCACCCATCACCGCCAAGCTTCTACGGGGTAACCATAACGGTAATGCTCTCCCTTCCTCAGACTTTCTGAACTCCAATACGATGCCTGAGTCAACCTACCCATGCATAACAAGTTAAGATTTTGAATATAAAATACATCTCACACCGTTTCTAAGGATAATTTCCAAATTCTAACGACGGAAATAGATGAGTTTACATCTCTACTATACATAAACCAACCATAAGACCTCTGTCGCCAAATCGAGTGCACTACAGGCGCTATGGAATTTTCTGGAAAAGGTATATCGCTCAAAACTAACATCACAGTAGGCGAACGAGACGTTCCCACCGACAATAACACTACCAAAAACGCGCCTCTCCTCAACCACATTGAACTGAACTGATCAATTTCACTGTTGGAGTAGTTGAACTCAAACACACAGTCAATCCCCCTTGTATTCGTTCCTCTTCACAACCCAAAGTGGCCCAAAGCTCAAAGCTTCCTCTTCAACCCATGGCTCAAAGTGAAAATACAAAACCATGCTACCATCCCTCTTACCTCCTCCTATGGAGAGTATAACTATAGGTCCCTCGAACGCTGAATGCGTGTCAACATGAAAGGAAATACCCACTCCCGGAATGTACCTACTCTACCATCCTAACAACTGAGTAAGACATACACATACTCATTAATCGTCAGCTGGTCAGGTCGGAAGTCCCGAGCCTCAGCAACGCTTTCAGCACGAATTCGTCGCACAAGCTCTTCCGTGTATGCAGGCATCCTCGCCTCCCCATCCAGAAAGGCATCTTTCGCTCGAAGTGAGGTATAGTCAAACGCATGACCAAAATGTTGAACCTTAAAACAAGTGCTCGAACTCATATTCACCCTTGTCCATTTTCGCCTAAATCCCGTTTTTGAGCTCCAATTTTTCGCCAAAATAAGTCGGAAACTGTTCCCGTAACAATACAAAATATTTTATCAAAAATCCTTCAAAAAATCTGTCCTCGATGGAAACATAAATAATGGGGTTGCGATGAGGACGACGACATTGGCTAATGCGAGGCAGAGCAGAAGAAGGGAAACTCGAGCCAAGATGGCTGCAGTTGGTGACAAATGAACTATAGAATTCTACCACAGTAAGTCCGAATGGTTAACGAAATACCTTCCCCTTCACCAAAACTGTCCAAGAGATTTCATCTAGCATAACCTTTCACAAAGATTCTAAACCCTGCCCACCACTACTCGGCGCCTTATCGAATGATCCCACTCCCCCGCATCCACCAACCCCAACAGCTTCTCCTCCTCCTCTTCCGTGATGAAGTCGGGTATCAAAGTCAACCCCGGAGGCAACTCGTCGGTAGTTGTTGGTATTGACGACGATGAAAACGATGACCCTTTCTCGCCTCGTTTCGACACGAACTCTACTCGCCTAAAAAACAACCCCTTGCGACAATGGAATTCTGCCCGTTCAGGAAAACCCATGAACACGCCCCCTATCAGCGTTCGCCCAACTTAATTGTATGCCACATACGGGTCAACAGGGAGGAGTACTACACCCCCGGTCCATATCATATAATAGGACAACTTGGCGAGGAGAGGCGTATCATCGATGTTCCACATCGAGGTATAAACTCATCACATTCACTCCACTTCACACAATGTACTACTGTAAACATACCTCGCTTAACACGACCTAGTGAGAGTACACTACTACTACTACTACTACTACTACTACTACTACTATGGCTGCTATTATCCCGCTGTTCGATAGCAATCCGAGAATCGAAATCGAAAGTCGATTTTCGTACATTAAATTCGGTACCAGGGCCAATTTTGATTTCCGATATCAGCCCTAAACTGACCAAGGTGATATTCTTCAGCAGACCATGCCCCACTACATTTCCGCTTCCATACCATCCTTGCATCGTATAGCGTCTTCAGTCGTCTCAAAGGAAGCAAAAGTGAAGTTATTTTCTACAAAACAGTCGGCGAGCCCTGAAGGGTTCTTGAGGAAAACGCGTAGCTCCTCCAAATTCGTAATACCTCTCGCATGACCTGAAACAAAACCAAAACCACTATAACTCGTTGAAGGAGAATCAGTGGCGATTCCTCGACAAGCCCGATTGGATCTTCAGTGAAGCAATAGTCAAATTCAAAAGCGATTCAGATTAGCAAATTTCATCGTGATTTTTTTATTTTCTTATCAAAAATATTATTATCTCCCGCGAAATGAGTTTTTAAAAATTAATCTATGAATGGTATTCTGCCGGCCGAGTTGTTCAGTGCTGCTAAAGGAGACACTACCATTGTAGTCTTAACTCATAATCATCAGCAGTAATTGGTCCCCGGCTGAGCTCATTGGAAATTTTCTCACTGCATTATGGAAATCCACACATGATTCAGGATAGCCGTATACAAAAACCAGCAACAATTTCCCAGAATTTCCCATATTGTCACCAGCGCCCGTAGTTGACCATGTACATTTTTTCTCACACTCATCACCAGTAAAACTACCGCTTAGTTTTCGAATGGAATTATTCAACAACCTTCATTGCGCATTTATTACCACAAGGCGACAGAAACAGGTGGCGTGTCTTCTGTGATGGGTTTTTGACTTTTTTGAAGATTTTACGGTAGTGCATAGGGAGGAACGACAAAGCAAAAAGCGAGTGGAACTTCGAAGAGCTTTCTCAATATACTCCATACACGGTTGGATTTCCAATTATATTCCTGAGTGGACAAAATTTGTGCGAGCGTAGTAACTTCATTTTCGATCTCAGAGTTCACGATCCACTGTACTCTTTCAAGAGGGTCGTCGAAAAACATCTCAGGATTCAGCAGATTCAAACTTCCGTAACTCCGTTGTCGCACTGAAGTGACTTCCTGCCCTTGAATGCGAGGTTGGTTCATCTAGAGAACTTCCTGGAGGTTGCCATTTCACAGTTACCATAAGTGAGTACATTGTAATATAGTAGACTACGTTATTCACAAGCACAGTAAATCTGGTGTGGGCTGTGCTTATTCACAAGCACAGTAAATCTGCTGTGGGCTGTGCTTATTCACAAGCACAGTAAATCACATTCACCAAGTAATGGCTCATTCATTTGTCTCTGCGTGCACGATCAGGTGCATGCGTGCACAAAGTCTGATACATGAAGTGGATCACATCTTCAGGGTGTTGTGATATGATGCACGCGACTCACATGAATTCGTGGCTTTTGACGAAATGGGAGTTCTCAACCGCGAAAGAGTACTTGTTTTTGTACCGAAATGGGAGTTCAAGCCATGTCACATTCGTGAGGGGCTATCTGGTGTTCGAACTCGGCCGCATGAGGGAATCAGGATTTCCAATGGTGAACGATAGAGGGAAGGGTGCTTTCGGAAAAGTACTTTGACCGCTTAACACTTGTATGTTTTTGTAAACCCCCCCTGCGCACCAAGGAAGGAAGCCCCCAAGGTCACCCCATAAGCGAATGATGGGAAGCCGGGGGCGCCTTTGAGTAGATGGACGATGCGTACCACGTATTACTCATCATAGAAGAACGTTTTCATCGACCGCCAGACCATACATTTCCATAACCAGACTACTCATTCAACGGGCTAGCTCTAATTGTGAGCGGTCAGACTTCTTGCCAGTAGCAGGATCATTGAGGTGGGGGGTGGAGGTGGGAAGGTGTCGCCGATCGAGAAATCTCCTCTGCTGAGTTGGAACTATTATTTCGGACCCGCGGAGGTTTTGCGGACGAAATTGGAATTTCTGCGATAGAGTGAATGGGGGCTCTATTGACGCAATTCAAGGTTCTATACAGTGTTATGACTGGAGGATCCACGGGCGTGGTTGAAGTCAACTGATGTTCTTGCGTGCACCACAAGAATGTCACTACGTGCGACGAGGATGGATGGACAATGTCCATTGGACACCAGCATCGCCCATGGAAACTCGACCTTTTCTGCATCATTTCTCCTCTTCTACTCTGGATATTGTGGACTCCATCCTAGCACGTGATCGAGTTGAATAGTGAAGACGGCCAGTCAGAGTTGTAGCTTTGTTCGCTTCATCATGAATAACCTCCCATGGATTGTCGGCTACCGTAGCAGACCGACATATAACGGTTTCTGCCCACTCCACGATCGATCGTAGACGCTTGCCCTAGCGGATAACGAATTTCTAATGATCAGAGCGCCCGCAATCATGAGAACTCTCGTAAACAAGATGTTCCCATATATAACATCTTGTCCTAAGACAAGATGGACAAGACATCTTGTCCATCTTGTCCTCACCTAAGTCCATGAGAATTTTTTTACAATCCCAATAGAGTCAATTCATACATTCAGGAGGGGGAAGTCCTTTCACTTCCGGCCAACACCCAGCACCAGCAACCCTGAATTGATCCTATATCCCAGCTCAGCATCCACCTCCCGAGTCGGAGGATTTTCAACATATTTTCAATTCTATCCTACTGTAATGTATTCAGAGATATCCCTTCCGAGGAAGAGTTTTCGGTGGATCACGAGGAGCCAGCAGTAAAGCCGTTTACAATGTTATGAAAACTTAGTTTGATTTTCTTGAACTATTTGCTTTTGAGTTTGCAGCTGCAACTAGTTTTACGTAACGATTTTAGTAATGGCTTTTAGCGACTATGAATATTAATCTACTGCAAAATTTCACCGACGAGGTTTCCGGGTTTCCAATATGCTGGATAGGGACCCGCGTAGTCTCTACGATCATCGTAGGCACTACCAAGATCCTATGTCTTGCCTCAAGCACGTTCCTTTCGCACTATAAAAGTAACAAGTCTTCTTTGTGTGACCATGGGGTTGTTCAATGGTCAAATTTGGATCAACGATCCCTAATAGACCGATAGGAACGTTATGCTCATATTACGTTCTAAACTAGAATTTCTAACTCACTCGTGAAGCCATGACTAACCCGGAACTGTCCACCGCCATACACTCGTACAAACATGCTGTGTTGGCCTACCTCAACTTTGACTATTGGGCCAAGATCGTACCAGTGGCTGAGAAGGCACTGAAAACTCCACACAGAGATACAGTGAGTCGGAACAATCACAAGGACCCTAGTACAGAAATTCTCTATGCGGTTCCAGAATTTATTCTGAGCATCAAAATTAGCTCCTCTACTCAGAAGAACTCAAAACCGAGATCGTGTTCTAAAACTTTGCAGCATATCTTCATTGAACTCGACTCGATCGATAATGAGATACTCAACTGCCATCATCGGCAGGAATTTCACTAATACATAGATTATGAGATGTTCTTAATCTGATTTTCCAATGGGAATCAGCATATAAACTCATAGCCATTATGCCGTGCTTCTCTCAATGATGAAAACCAATGACTACCCATCTCCTGTGAATACCATGCTTCCTCCTCAGGGCGAGAGCCTCACAGCCGGTCTGCTAGCTGTTGACTTCTTGACTTGGTCGAGGCAAGTCCAGCGAGGGAAGGAGATGCTAGCCACAGTAGAGAGGGTGGCTGACGAGACAGGCCAAGCCTACCCAGAATACATCTCTAATTTGTTGAAGGCTTATCAATCCTGCATCAAAGCCACTGACTATGAGGTATGCATGGTTTGTCCAGTACAGTGAACAGTCATTGTAATGGCAGAAAGCCTACGGCTACTTTTACCGCTCCTGGGCCACAGGGCCCCATCATGAGGACCTGTTCGCATTGAAGAGAGCTCAAGTGATCCGACCCATACCACACTTCTCCTTCATCGCGTCTGATTAGGTGATGGCTTTGAAATGCGGCCGATCAGACCTCATCCATGAGGCCATCGCGGAGCTCTATAAAACACACAGCTTCAGTTTGTCCACTATGTAGGTCCTGCCCAAGCATTCAATCGTCACTCTAATCTGTTCAGTCCCTTCATGGCAGGAATGGTATCTTTCGGTTTAGAGCAGGCCGGTGACTACAGTGGAGCCGAACGTGTTGCACGAGACGGGTATACGTGCCCGAAGGCAGCCACTGATGATATCTGGCTTGATCATGCTTTAGTTCATAGTCTATATTTCCAAGTAACTGCCTCACGCCTTTGCCCCCTATGGTGCTGCTCTCAGGGTCCTAACCGACAATCAGATGCTCTCCAGCTGTTCCTTGACCGTCATACGTCATGGGATGATCATCGAGAAAGTCTCTGCCCGTTCATTTACACTCATTGTTTTTGGCATTGGGCGCTGGTCCTCGTTGAGGCAGGCCGATTCGACGAGGCATGTGAGTCGGTGGCTATAGACTTGATGTGGATTTGCAATCGACTATGCAATTCACTCATTTTCATAGGCTGTCGTATATTACACGGTTATGAGTTTCAAAATCACCTCACCTGGGATGATCATTGATTCTATCGACCTCCGTGACCTTTTTAGTGCGCATCTTCGATCGTAACCTTTGGTGGGAAGGAAGAGAATCGACCACAGGCATGTTCACGTCCGTTAACCTTCAAGACGACCACGTTATCGCCAATGCGTTGGGACTCCTCTGGAAATTACAGTGCCACTGTTCACAGAGTCCCAACGAGGTAAGTTCACATTGGAAAGCAATAGGAACGTTTTTCCGGTTACCCTCGTATGGCGATTTTGATTATTTTAATTCCGATAATGGTTCTTCGAAGTATGCGACTTTTGTTGTTCAGCCAATATCCACCTGCCTGAAGACTCGATGGCGAGCGGTAGCCGCAGTTGCCGTTGAGGCCCCGTCTTGGTTGACTCATGTCGATCCTCTGCTTGATGTTCTCCTTGTACGAGGCCTCATAGAATCTGACAGACTTGAGGATGCCGACATTCTGGTGGGTCACATACTCACTTTCGACCCAGTGGATATCTTGGATCGATTGCTCCGACGAGGAGCTTTGACAACCTCTCTTCCTCAGGTTGAATCGATCAAGAATTCGATGTCAAAAGAACAATACAATATAGCTCAGGCCGTGTATCAATGTTGTTTGGGTGAGGGCTATCATTATCATCTCATCTCCCCAATTGAAAGCTCCATGATTTCGTACCCCTCGGCTTCACGCTGAATATGGGAAGTTGCTATTCGTGTGATTTGTCAGACCCCACTCCCTCATCCCGAAGTCGCCTGCTTGGCCTCAAAGACACCTGGCATGTCGTCGGCGGTAGCGAAGAGCAGCGCCTCTGCTTACTCGAGCTTGCTACCAGCAAACCATGTGTATGTGGTATACCACAGTGATCGTTTATCCGTTTCAGTATCATTCGATACCTTTCGAGTTCACGAGTGTGACATTGAAGACTACGGTAGAATCGCGGATGATGAACATTCTGTGCTGCATATCTCCTCATGCATCGGGTAAATGAACAAACACTTACCAGGCCGTCCGCGAATTCAATCACAACTTTTGCTGTGCCGGTGTGACCAATGGTGCACAGATCTCAACAGAACAGGGTCTACTGCACATCTTGGGCTACTTTACAAGTGTGTCGAGGAGGTAATCGACGACATGTCGATGGAAGTGCCTTCTTCCCTCGAAGCTGATTTCGCGAGACTCCTCTCATGGCACCAGCCCTGTTGGGCCGGTCTCCCACTGCAATGGGTGGCAGAGCCCCGAATTACCAATGTGGAGACCGACCCGGTGGTGACGCCAATTGTCGATAGTCACCCAATTCTCGTTCATTCGACGCTCTTGTGGGTATCATTCATTATTTTGTGGATACATGCCAGTGATAGTGTTAGATCATTTTTACCATATGGTCGAATCGAAACTCACATGCTTTCGATTGAACTACACAGCCTAACCGAACTGATACAATTCTCCGCGAGAGGCCTATATTCCGGGATATTTTAGGCGTCAAGCAGAGATGGGCTCAAATCTGTCGCATCTCCTCACCATTGAAGTCACCCACCGCACGACACTGATGCCTCATTTCATGATAGCGAACACCCCCATCGATTAACAACTCGTCAATGGTCATACTCAGTGTCGGCCTTGCTTGACCATCCGTCGCGCGAGTAGCTATGAATGATTCGTTCGGCGTTCCGGACCAACTGCAGACTAACTCAAGCTACTCAAGATCAGAAACACATTGAAACATCCACAACATGCCTTCACTATGACCGTCCCTCCAACCACGTGCCGATTCGACCGAGGCTCTCTAGGGAGAAATCCGGGCTGAAGAACACATGTCTTCATCCTCTGTCGCTCAACGCGTGTCCATGAGAGACTGATATCAACGCCATTGAGCTGCTCTGGAAATTGAAAGAGAGAAACACGCTCCAATATCTCGAAGAGTTCATATCAATGCTCTAATAGAATACGCTGCCAAAACGTGCTTACTCTGGTAGAAGGTGTCTCCTCAAGGCAGTCTCATAGTCTGCATCGTTCTCAAGTATGCTAGGGCTGCCCGTAGCATGTATAGCATTCAACAGGAGGAGTCTCTCACCCTAAAGGAACAGGTAATCAAAGTGACTAAGCTGCGGATCGAACTCGCGACTTTACCTGGGACAAATCATCCACAACGTCCTTGCATCGGTTCCACAAAGCATCCACCACCTTCAGCTCCTTTTTACTTAGCGGCTCTCGTGAGAAGTGAGCTCTTGCAAATATTAGAGAACCTCCCGCCACAGCGAGCTCCTGAATCTCACCATTCAAGCCACTACTGTAGCCTACAGTTAGCCAGATAAACCGTGTGCGAACTCACCCGTCGAGTCGTTCCCTCTTCCTGCCATCGATCAACACTGTTGAGCAGCTGGGCTATCAAAGCTGTATCGTTCACCTCAGCCCTCATCATAAGTCTAGCCAACATCCCGGCTGACTGCACCTTGACTGACTTAGCCGATTTCAGACTTTTACCCAGAAGCTGACACAGTTTCTGACAAGAAGCTTGCTGATACTATCGGGAGCGCGAAAGTGCAACCGCTTACCTCGATCTCGGCGACAGTCCTGGGTAAGAAACCGGACTGGACCAATGCTCTCAAGATGAGCACAGCGAGATCGAACTCAGTGCATTCTGACTTCGCCATACGGAGATGTGGTGGGAGAACCGCCTGAGACGCCAACAAGGTGTACATTGGAATGATAGCCACAAGCCAACCTGCTTCGCAAGATCCTTAGTTTTCAAGCCGCTTATGGCTGGTAGCAACACTGAGTCCCATGCTCTGTGGACTTCAGCTGTGAGAGTGAGTCGAGACAAGGACTGATCACAACACAGGCATTGGAGTTTCCATTGGAATATATTCAACCCCGAGAAATCATGAATTTGTTGTCAAAATTTCCTACTATCACTTAAACTTTAGTAGAGTGAAGCTGAGAGAATGAGCTCGAACTGTCACAAGCCGACACTGGCCGACGCGAAAGTGCCATGAGCCGCTACTTCCGTGTCAGCAGAAAAGTGGATTTTCCAATCCGAAAATCTAACCCAACTCTGAACAACTAACTCTTGACGACGCATTCAGCGTGTTTCTACAATAAACGCTTTTACAATACCTGCTTGTCCATTACAATTAGGCTCGGTAGTTTATCTCCGGGTACGTAGGATTAGTCGGCGACCCCCGGGACAGGGGCCAGGGCCGGAGGCCCTGGCTATTTAAAGAAGGCTCGTCACGTCTCTGGTGTCCTCTCTGATAACACTCTGATGGCTCTGATGTCCTCTCTGCAGTACAGTTATTGACCAAAGTCAGTCTTCGCCCGGTCAAGAAGCTTCTCCCGTATCGAGGAATTCCGCCGAATGCGCTCCTGGCTAGGTCTCTGGGTGGGGAATCTAGGCTCAACCCACGATAATGTGATATTGAAACTATCCCAGCACTCAGCGTCGTATGACTACCAGTCATATGTAGAACATGAACTGCGACTACTAGTCTGCTAGTCATCAACCACCCATCGTACAAGTTGTACGGTACAACTCGGCATGACGAAGTCTCGGACTTTCGGGATTCTGCAGTACACAGACAGCTGAAACCCCTGTTTCATCTAAGCGAATAGTCCGCTGCGGATTTCTTGAATATGTTAAAGGCTTAGGTGCCGCAGACATATTCATCCCATAACTTGCATATCGGCGTATATCATGTTTGCATAGGTCAGTGCTCTGTGGTTTGTCACTCAGTAGATCCGTGTGAGAGAGGTTACGATATCCACTCAATGCAACGTGCAGTGCACACGATGACACGCCACCCACAACTGATTCAGTTAGTGTCATTAGGGAAACTGCCGAATCATGAAGGCTGCAGTACAACTGACCCACTTCGCCGAACTTCTCAGTGATACAGCGTTAGCCGAGACTGTAGAGAAGGCACCCCGGAAAGAGGGAACATAAGGTCGAGAACTGGCAGGACGAGTTGTCCCGTCTGGAGAACGGAAATGAGCGACCGTCAGATGGTCACCATCGTTCATAACAATCATTCATCCCTGAATACACCCCCTTACTTGAGTTATCACCACTATACAAGATTCAATTTTCTTCTTCCGTAATCTCACAACTGCCTTAGCGCAGATATCCGCCGCTGTGGCCTTATAGTCTCCACGGAACAACGCGTGCCTATAATAACGCGGACCCCAAGTTCGATCCCGGCACCCTGCACTTACTCGCCAACATAGCAGAACGGTGACATCAGATGCGCCAATGTAACCACATTATTACTGTTCTCGATGAGCTCAATAAGCTGAACTCCCAATGCGGGCCGCAACCTACGACAGCATCACCATTCCAAGCGAAATACTTCTTCACAGAGGATTTCTTAGGAAAGGCGAATTGCGTTGGGAACGTAGGCCAATTGCGACCTACTTATTGCCAGGACGCATCTTCCAAGCCTTCACATCGGCCTCGACATGTCTCATCCTCTTGAAAGGAATCTGCGCCTTCAAAAACCTATCCCGCTCCCATGCCTGAAATAATCAATTCACCAGTATTCGAACCGACGACCTTTGGATGCTGCCAGTATAGACTAGGCAGCTCCTCATTGATCTATTCTCTATCGACTTACTTCCATGTCGACTGGATCCATAGTCTTCCACCATGTCGTCACCTTCTCTTTCGACGGAACTGTCGATTTCGGGCGCTGAAACTCAACGATGCCTCCTACTTCTCATCAAATCAACAACTATTTCCACAGCATAGACTCACAGGCTTGAGAGATTCCTTGTACTCGTCCTTCAAGCGCAAATCATCAGCAATGATAAGCCTGGCTATATAATCCGGTCGCATATAAGAAACGAAGTCAGGAAAAGACTGGAACTCGCCTATAATGAAAACGACAATTGTGGGGATCGAACCAGAGACCTCCGCAGTGGTACCATGGACTTCGCCCTGCGACGCTAGCATACTCCGTATCCACTCGGCCTGCCGCGGGTCAGCATCCCGGGGCGGAAAGAATGTCTCAGAGGAGAAGTATCTTCATGATATCAACCAATCTTCCTCGTCAATTCACGAAAATACCAACCTGTTTTCAACGGCTTCCAGTATCTTCTCCCCCATAACTCGATTCGCACATCCTGTCTCCTGCATCAGCATAAGCAACACCAAAGCATGATGCGCCGACAGAGAATGATGGTCATTAATTAGGGGTATAACCCTCTGAGCAAGAGGTCCATGGTTCGATCCCGGCAACACACAAAGTCACTCAAACCCCCACCTTTTCGAAATCGCCGCGCTCCTTGTTCTCTCTCGCCATCACATATGCGGTATTAATGATGTTGTCCAGCGAGTCATATTCCACTTCTGCTACCCAGTCTCGACCTTCCTCAACTGCTACTGCTTCATGGCGTAATATTCGACTGAAAACAATAGTCGCACGTCGTAGTCTTAACTTCAACAGAAGTGAGCAACGATAACCCAGAGAACGACATGACAAAGCTATAGGAGGCTCATGAGCATTGGTGACAGTGTGCCAACAACTCCCTCCCGTAGAGGGATTGCATCAAAGGAAGGACCTGCCCGATGCCGCATCCAAGTTTACCTCAAATGCAATGTGCCGCCAACTCTCGCTACTGGCCGTGTAGGCGACCGCCACAACAGTTTTGACAGCATAATAGGGCAAACTACCTGCCGTTTCCCGAAAACCCACATCACGGCGGTTCGATCTCCGCACCTCACACTTCTATGAATTAAAACCAACCAAACGCAACCTCAACGCAGCTAAGATATCCGAACTTGCTCATTCTACCAAAGATACAACAACGTGCCACTTGGAGCTGTTATCTTCTACCCGAGCTCTCATCTTTTTCCCCAATACTCCTTTGTGAATACCCAACAGAACCGCTTTCGTATAGCGCTTAGTGTGGCCAACAGTCTGCCCTCTCCCCTCATCAACTTCATCATACCACACTTCCACCACTTCTCCAATATCGTACAACGAGTCAGTCAACGAATACGACATAAACAGATTCGTAACCTCAGTACTGCGTTCTTTGATAACCTTCCCTGGCAACCTCGGCCGTATTCGAGCGGCAGCCGTACCCGGTCTAGCATAAAACTGACTTATATTAATAACAGGAAATCTATGTCGTTTTATGAGCTCCAAAGTCTCTCTGTGATTCTCCTCCGACTCTGTTGGAAAGCCGCAAATAACGTCTGTAGCTACGGTCAGGTTGGGCACGCGTGCGCGCAAGATACCCACTAAACGATCAAAATCCTCTACCGTATACTCCCGAATCATGTGCCTCAATACATCGTTGCTTCCCGATTGAATAGGAATGTGGATGAACTCGAAAACTTGCGGGTGCGTGAGTATCTTGGCGACCTCCTCTGCATGTTGCAATATATAAGGTGGATTCGTCATTCCCAATCTCATCATCGAATCAGGATACTTCTCAAGCTCCCCAACAATCTCCCGGAGCAACTCAGCCACGTTCGTGCCAATATCCAACCCATACGCCCCCAAGTCCTCAGAGGTCAGCCAAATCTGCTGTACGCCTTCCGCCAGAGCCGTGCGCACGCGTGCAATGATGTCCTCCTTGCTATAAGACCCCAGAGAGCCTCTCGCATACTTAGTCTTGCAATACGAGCACTTCCCCAGGCACCCCGTATTAACCGCGACAATCTCGACCAATGGGTTACGTCTTATCTTCGGCAACTCCCTGAGCTCTGGCAACTTCTTACTCTGCAGCAACGACACTCGATTCCCCCGTAATGTTTCCTCTACCACTTCCACTATCCTATCAATTTGACTAGTCCCCACCAAACTGGCATTCCTCAATGCCCGACTCTTCCTGTCAGCTTGCGGCACACACCCACACACGACTGTCGGCAGCCCTTCCGCCTCTGCCGCCTTCACCAAAGTCGCCAGCGCATCTTCGCTCGGATTCTTCACCGTGCACGAGTTCAACACCACGACATCAGCATCAGCAATCTTCCCCACAAAATCGTAACCATATCTCGACAATAATCCCATCATGTACTCCGAGTCGCTCGTGTTATGGCTGCACCCAAACGTCTTGAAGAATATCTTCTGACCCGCACCCGGAAGATTTCCATCTCCACTACCAACCACAGAGCCCCTCTCCACCGTCTTCCGCATCACCTCTGCCTTCCTCGATCGCATCGTCGTCGATGCTGCTGGTGTCACCTCAGCCGACAAGTCAAGGTCTTCCAACTCTGGCATGCCAGTCGTAGTAGTAGTACAAGATTCACTACCGCACTCGCAAGATTCTCCATCGCCATCACCATCACCATCCTCATCAACACAACAGGAAGCTCCTTCATTCGGCAACGGCCGAGTCGACCACAAGTAGTAAAGATACGCTGACGTCGCCAACACCGCTCCGCTCACCACAACCACTTTAGTTACCGATTTCGCAGTAGCAGGGGTGTCGGTCGTCATAGAATAGGGAGAAACGATAACTCCGATCAAGAGCGACTTCACAACAATCTCAATAGCAAAGCCAAGATCAACCTCAGGTATCACCATGCCTCGTCCAAATCCTTCCAGGCGATCGTTACACCAATATTGTGAAATGCTATATCGACCCTTACATGCGATACTTACCCTTAAAATACGATCCCAATTCGATTATAAATTTCCCAATCCCTTCGAAAGCTGCGATCACCATTAGCCTCCCTCAACTACACAACAACAGCACTTGATAGGAACAACGACTTCAGCAACATGTCTGGTATAAATCAAGTAAGCGCGCTCCTCCATCTCCCAAACGCCATGCCACATAAGTGTTGATGATAATGGATTATACCCTACGAAAAGTATAGCTCGCCTGTGACACGGACGCAGTAGCAATAAGAGACGAAACCACTACCGAGGAGGGTAAATATCCAATCACTTAGTACGAAAATTTCGGAAAAATTTTTGCCGAAAATTCTCGAGAAATTCGGTTTTTATCAAGTCATTTTAATCTCTCCTCTCACGTGAATGATCTCCTCGAAATAATACAGGAAGATCGTTCTAGATTGAACGAGGAAAGATAACCGCTGAATATGACGGAGTCGTTGCCACTCCCACCTTGAACACTCCTGATTCCATGCCCATCTTCATCAACTTCACCAGCCATCTCAGCTCAGTAGTCTCAACATCAAAAATGCTCGACTGGGCAGTGTACACGCCTGATAAGATAACGACTCAGGTTCGACCCTCCCCGACGTATTGAAGTGAATATATTGACACCGTACAATAAGACAATTATAAATTCTCCTCAACCTAACGAATCGATCACCAGGGCGAGCGCTACTCCCTCTCGAGTAAACCACCTTCACCAACAAGGAACACATAAGCCCAACTCAAGTTCATACCAAGAGCCAACTCCGCCTCCTCATAAGCTGCTAATATTACGTACAACGTCTTCGCAAGATTCTCTTCTCCCTGCACAAACTTCTCCCATGCCTGACAAATCATCAATCTCACAATTTCGTGGCGCGCGACAAATCTCATCATCATCCATACACCCACCACCACATATTCTTCTAGGGTGCGTCAAATTCTTGTTAAGGTTGACCGCTCACCCCCAGTTCCAGACTCTACCCGTTGAAGTGGAGATAGCTCTAATAAGCTATCCACTTCGGCATCAACAAAAACCACGAATAGAAGCATACTGAGCGCATTTCAATTGTCCCTCAAAGTGGAGGCAGACAACCCATTCCCATCCATATAAGTACCTCTCCCTGCATATCATCAGCCGCATTATAAACCCGACCGGCCGCTGACCTTGGTGAAACCTCCTCAAGCTGTACCGAACTACGACGACTACTCCAAGGGCTCAGAATCTGCCTGTTTATTCTCCTCCTGAAAATCGAGCTACCGAAAACTCAGCAAAACAATACCAAAAATTAGAGGGAACGCACCGTTGTAATTAAACCATCTTACCGCCTCAGTCGTCGCCTCTCCCGAGCCACCACATACTCGTACAAGAAGTAACGCATAACGTGCAACGGGATGGTGATAGTCCTTGACCTGACACTGCACTAC